AAATACCCATTCTACCTCTCTTAGTTTCATTAACTTCTCATTAGACAAATTATGACCGCTTCTGTACCATTATAACTCAATTAGACTCAAATTGGAGAAAGAAGCCGATTATACCCATTAAGGCCTGATCGAACTAAACCAATTATTGTCATTTTGACCCAATTAGACTCCTTATAAAGAAATGGGCCTATTAAACCAATTCGGGTCCAATTTGATTAATTATACGATCTATTTAGTGTCATTTTGACAAAAATGGCTCGATTAAAATAAGTAGGCACATTCTACCTACGAGTACCAAATGGACCCAATAAGGACCATTCAGAACCATATACCTCAATTAGTCACATTAATGTCTAGTTATACCAGTTTCGACGGGGGGTCCGGATCTAGTAAAGGTTGAGGTAAAAGCATTTCAAACGAGACGTGGTGTTGCGGTCAAAACGTCTACAAATAACCGATTCTCACCTTTGTCTACTGAAGAATCTAGTGAAGACGATGATATGGAGATAATTGATACGGCTAGGTGTGATGCTGGGGGGTCTCTTCAAAGGTGACAACAATGTGGTGGATGAAGTGAGTATAGGGGAGGGTGTTGCAACCATCTCCAGTTATAAAGTTTGCTTCCTGGAATATTGGGGGTCTTAATGCCCTAATAAAGCAAAGAGAGGTACGTGACTTTATCCGTGTAAAACGTCTTTCGTTATGTTGCATTATTGAATCTAAAGTCTTACAAAGTAACCTAGGTGATGTGTGTGGTCGTGTTTTAGGAAGCTGGAGTTGGGTTTCCAATGGTCTCTCTTGTGATCAAGGAACACGCCTTATTATAGCTTGGGACCCGACTGTTTTGTCCTTGATTGTGATTGAGCAACATTTGCAATATGTGCATTGTGAAATCCGTATCGTTGGAAAGCAGGATCCTATTTTTTATACGTTTATTTATGGGTGTAATACAGGAGTGGGAAGGAGAGATCTTTGGAGGGCCCTTGGGAAATTCAATATTTTTATCCATAATAAAGCGTGGATAGCAATTGGAGATTTTAATTCGATGCTCTTCCCTCATGATGGGTTGGGAGGGTCTTCTAGGCGTAATTCGGATATGGAAGAGTTTCATCTTTGTCTAGAAGATGTAAAGCTTTTTGATATCTCTTATCAGGGGTGCCAATACACTTGGATTCAGAAGCAGTCAGGGGATGGAGGTATTCTTCGCAAGTTAGACCGGATTTTGGGGAATTTGGCATTTATTGACACCTTTGGGGATGCTTCGGTCGTCTTTGAACCAAGAGGAATTTCTGACCATTCGCCGGGTATTCTAACAATCAAAGTTGGGAGAAGAGTTAGAAATCGTGGCTTCAAGTTTGATAATTTCTTGACTTCCCATGAAGATTTCATTAGTTCCGTTGAGGGACTGTGGGTGAAACCAAAGAAAGGCTCCTATATGAAAAAAGTTCTCTTTAAAATGCAAGATATGAAAGGGGTTTGCCGTAGACTGCGTAATTTGTATGGCTGCTTGGATAAGAAGGTGGCATTGTTAAAATCGGAATTTGATGTAGCTCAATTGGCTTGTGACTTAGATCCTTTTAATGATTTGCTGAAAGAGGATGTTGCTCACTTATTATTAGCTTATCAACAAGCTAGGAATGATCAGTTGGAAATGGTTAGACAAAAGGCGAAGATTTCTTGGTTGAATGAGGGGGATGGAAACTGAAAGTTCTTTTTTCATTCCATGAAAGAGAAGCGCAATAGGAATCACATTGCTACTATTAAAGACTCTACTGGTATGGTATTTGAGCATGATGAAGTTCCAAAAGCTTTTGTTACTCACTTTGTAGTTATTTTGGGTTCTTGTGATGCGTTGGTAGATCCTTCTATGGAGGATTATTCTTTTGACCGTTCTTTGACTTTATCGGAGTCTCTGCAATTAATTAGACCCATTACGGATATGGAAATAAAGTCTACTTTATTTGATATTGGAAATGATAAGGCCCTGGGATCTGATGGGTTTTCTTCGAAATTCTTTAAATCTCCTTGGTGTCTGGTGGGTCGAGATATTCTTATTGCGGTTCATAATTTCTTCTACTCGGGCACCTTAGAGTATCAGTTGAACCACACTTTGCTTTGTCTTATTCCGAAAACCCCTAATGCTTCCTGTGTTTCTGATTTTCGGCCCATATCTTGTTGCAATGTGTTGCTTAAATGTATTAGTAAAATCATTGCTGACAGGATGAAAGGCTATTTGAATGTCCTTATCAGTAAGGCTTAATCGGCTTTCATTCCTGGCAGACAGATTACTGATAACATCTTAATGGCACATGAGTTGGTGGCAGGTTACCACAAACCCAAGGGGGAACCAAAATGTGCGTTCAAGATTAATATAAGAAAAGCTTATGACACTGTTGACTGGATGTATCTTCTTGCGATGTTGAAGGGAATGGGTTTTCATCCAGTTATGATAAATTGGATAAAGTCGCTAATCTCAACGCCTACTTTCTCTATTTGTGTTAATGGTCAGTCGGAGGGTTTCTTTCATGGTAAACGAGGTCTTCCACAAGGAGATCCTATTTCTCCTTATTTGTTTACGGTGGTAATGGAAGGACTATCGATGATCCTGAAAAAGTGTATTGATGAGGAGGTGAATTTCGCTTACCACCAAGGATGTGAAGACCTCAAGTTGACTCATTTATGTCTTGCAGATGATCTTTTTATTTTCTCTTAAAGGGATGCCATTTCGGTAGAAGTGATAAAACAGGCTCTCCAATTGTTTGAAGTTAGATCGGGTCTGTCTCCGAGTCTTATAAAAAGTGAGGTATTTTTTGGAAATGTTGAGTTGGTTGTTCAACATGCCATTCGAAATTGGCTTCCTTTTCGTCCGGGGGTGTTTCCTATTCGGTACCTGGGCGTTCCTCTCTCTCCGGTCAGATTGAAGGTACGTGATTTCAACCCTCTTGTGGTTAAACTTAAAACTCGTTTGTTGAATTGGTAAAACAAATTTCTTTCCTATGGTGGTAGAAGACAACTCATCATCTCTGTCCTTCAATCTATGCAAACTTATTGGATGTCAGTTTTCCTAATCCCGACGGCTACAATCCATGAAATTGAACAAGTTTGCCAAAATTTCTTATGGAATAAAGCGGAAGGGGTGTTGGGAAAGTGTCGAGTTTCTTGGGAAAGGGTTTGTTTGCCTGTAAAAAAAGGGGACTTGGTATGAAAAGGCTGGCACTTTGGAATAGGTGCTTGCTGTTTAAACATATTTGGGATATCCTTACTAAAAGAAGATCCATGTGGGTTTCTTGGATTCATTCAAACTGTGTTYGGGGAGAAATTTTTGGGTGATCAAGARRAGAAATGAATGGTCTTGGCTTATACGGAACCTTTTAGASTTAAGACCTCATTGTARRAGATTTTTCATTTTGATTGTGGGTAATGGGAGATCTACGCATGCTTGGGAAGACACTTGGAGTGAACAGGGTCCCCTTATCCATTTGCTTTCATATAGGTTCATAAACGGCCATGAGTTTCATAATAACTCTACGGTTTATGACCTAATACAACGGTTTGGTAATGCGTGGCCGGATGAATGGATACAACGGTTTCCCCAGTTGCAGCAAATTGTGATCCCTTCCCCTAGTCCTTTAGAGGATACGATTAGGTGGCTTGAGCCTAATAATAATAGGTAGCCTTTTACGGTGAAGGTGGCATGGAAAACTTTGCAAGAAGTGGGACCGATTGTGCATTGGCACAAGGTGGTCTAGAATAAAGCATACATCCCTAAACATGCTCTCTGTATGTGGATGGCATGTCAGAAAAGGTTACCGACCCAAGACCGCATTTGCCAGTGGAAGCATGAACCTCCTGRTATGAAATGTGTTTTTTGTAACTTGGTGATTGAGTCGCACAATCACTTATTCTTTGAGTGTAACTATTCACGTAGTATTTGGGAGGTAATAAAGAGGGAAATAGGGATCCAGATGTGTCCGGACAATTGGGCGGATATCCTTAATATGGGGATATTGCATGGGTGGAAATTGTGGTCTACGGTTCAGAAGCTTGGAATGTCGGCTACGGTGTACCATATATGGATGGAAAGGAATAGAAAGTTTTTTGACAATCATAACCGTACTGGAGTTCAAGTAGTGGCATATATCAAGACACAGATTCTTCAAAGAATGGCGTGGAAGACAAGGAAGAAACTAACGAGAATCACTGATGCGTGATCATGAGGTTGGAGAAGAGTTCTGGTTCTGGGAGTCTTTGGTGATTTGCTCTATCTATTTTTTTGCTTGTTTTGCATTTCTTTTTTGGTGCATTTCCCTTTGTTTATTTTGTCTTCTTATGGCTTGGTTTGTGAGTCAAAGTTGCCGCAGTTTTTCTTGCTGATCTGTACCTTCATTGCTTTTTTTCTTGCTTTATAAAATTTCCTGGGGAGTTCTCCCCTTTCAGTATACCAGTTTCGACTCATTCAGTATCATTTTTACCTAATTAGACTCCTCAAGGAGAGATGGGGCTCTTATACCCTTCATAAGGTTCTAATGAGACAA